CAATGGACATGTTAACCGTATCTTTGGATTCCTCAATGGATACTACAGTATAAGTATATTTTTTAGTCTAGGTATGCATAATTTTTTCTACAATTTTCTTGTCAGGCATATCTTCTCCATTGCTTCTCATCTTGTTGGAGATTATCATCACTCTTGCAAAATAATCTGTGATACTTTCATCCTTCTCATCTCTAGGATCTCAAATTTTCTCCTTAATGCATTAGGAAGAAATTTCTTCACTTTTTGGTTTGCACCAAATTTTTTGTTCATTGAGTCCCAAACAATCTTGACTGTGCGACGATCCAAGATTTATTCAAAGACAGTACGATCAATTGTCTGGAAGAGGTAATGCTTTAATTGGTGATCTTTGAGTCTAGCATCATCAAGGTGGCCCTTTCGTGCCTCAGTCAGTATTGTTCCTTCCCCTGGTTCTGAGAAACCAATCTTTACCACACTCCATAAACCCTTTCCTCTGAGCAAATTTTCCATCAGCTCACTCCAATGATCATAATGATAATCGAAGTGAGGGATCTTCGTTAAAGTTTTGTCTTCACTCATATTCTCTCTATTTGATCACTCAAAAATTGCTACTCTACAAAGCCTAGTGGTGGCTCTGATACCAATTGTTAGGTTTTAGAAACATAAACAATTGGAGTTTCAAGTGATGCTATCATTGAATATTGAACTTGGCTTTTATAGCTTTACAAATAACGAGAAATAGAAGCTAACCACGAATCTCGCAAAATAGTTAAAGTAAATACTGGAAAAAAAAAAATACTCTAACTATCCAAAAAAACTAATCTTTATTTAACTATTTTTTACATAATCAAATTATTCTAACCGTGTTTGCATTTGCATGGCCCCTTATAGTGGGTCACGAACAGAGTCTGTGACACGTGAATAAGGTAGACTCATATTTAAATTCCTAGTCTTAAGTTAAAATAGTTTTTTTTTTTTTTTTTTTTTTTTTTTTTTTTTTTTTTTTTTTTCATTTCATGGTTTTAAATTATTTTGTATTTGTTTTTATTTTTTCTAAATTTTAGTATTTTGTATTTAAACACGTAAGACCATGACTCTATTTTCTAGAGAAGAGGACGTTTTAAATGTTTTCGAGATTTATATTATAGATGATGTTCGTTTAAGAGTTATAATTTAGGGTCATTACAATTGGTATCAGAGCTCTAGGTTTTAGATTTTGTAGACTACCTTACGATGTATAGACTAGCCTACGATTTATACAATAGCCTACGATGTAGGCTTGACACGTTCTATAGTCCCAATGTCGATGCTTTGTCACCTACAGGTATGCATTACATAAGATAAGAAAAAAGAAACGTTTTTTAAGGCACCCCTGTAAAGGGGACAGAGGCATTGCAACTCTGAGACCGTGGCACAAGCCTTGTGCTACTACATTTTTCATATAAAGGTTTCATATAAAGGCAGGATAGAGGCATCACAACTCTGAGACCCCTTGCGCTACTACATTTTTCATATAAAGGTAGGATGGAGGCATCGCAACTCTGAAACCCTTTGTACTACTACATTTTTCATATAAAGGCACGACGAAGGCATCAAAACTTTGAGACCATGGCATAAGTCTTGTGCTACTACATTTTTCATATAAAGGTAGAGTGCCCCTGTAAGGCTAACGGAGGCATCACAACTTTAAGTTAAGTGAAAATTTAGGGTCGTTACATGAGCTATCCCGATCATTTTTTACACATTATCCTTATTTTAGTAGCATATTTTTAGTGGGTGTTTGAATAGTTGATAGTTTTTTTTGTGGAAAGACTATAAATACCTCCAAATTATTGTATAAAAGGAAGATTTGATGAATGAAATTTAGCTCTCATTGACTTCGAACCTTAGAAATTTGAGCATCATTTTTGTCATTTCTAAGTTTCATGCAATTCTTGCGGTAGATTGCATCTGAACCATTCAATCAAACATTGATCAAGTTCGTTGAGTGACTCAATTTAGAACAAGGTGTCAAATATCTTTGATCTTAAGAGATAATCTAATTCTAGCCATCCTCGGTAGATCCGAATTTTGTATGAGAAAGTGTTAATTTCATTGATTAAAGGGTTCTTGCTTCAACAAAAGCTTGGATCGTTGAGTTGATGATTAGAGTTGTCTTATCCTCTTTCTTGGATTTCTTCTAAATTCGAAAGCTATATTCCATAATTTTTTATTCAAACTTGTTTCTACACGTTCTAAATAAGATTACTAGCAAGTATGGTAAAAAAATCAAGTACAAAAAATGCACCTAACCTATGTACCCAATAAAATCCGCCATTGAAGGCGCTCGAGGAAACTTGAATTTATAATTTATGGCTACACGCAAATCGTCACTTCTCATCCATTCCATTGGATTTTTGAACCTTCAAGGAACATTTTCATAGAAGAGACCAAAGACCAATATGTCCCATAGAGTGCGCAATTTAAGAAATTCATTTTTGGGTAAGAACGGGGTAAGTTTCAATTTCTTTCTATAACCCTTCTCATAAAAAATTGATGATTCCATAAACTTTAGAGGACTAAGATAGACAATGTTCATGAAGGAGTTATGGCCTACGGATGTAAGAAACTAGCTGCTCAAAAAATCTCATTCTCGCGTTATGGGTTGAGTTGTAGACCGAAGGAAGAAATCCAAAATTAAATCCACACACATAAATTTGTCCCTCCAAGATGAATTTTTAAGCTCGAGGGAAGTATAAGGACAAACTTTCGTGAAGAAATCGTGGCCTAAAAGTACCTCGATTGTTTCAACAAATTAGAAAATCCAGTGGGTTTACTCTACGCGGAATCCTATTTTTATCCAAATTCGACGAGCTATAACTTGAGCTACATTACACTTAATGGTAACAAGTTAGTACTTAGATCTACCTTGAAATTCTATCTTTAAGTTTCATGAAATTAAGGGAGAAATGCTCAAATCAGAGCTAAGATGATTTATTTTTAAACAGCAGCACAACGGTTCACACGTATCTTCTTTCTTTCAAAAGAAGAAGACGATGGCGTGCGTGATTCAACTGAACCGGCCACGCAAGCCTAAAATCCAGTACTCCGTTAGTTTTTTTTTTCTAAATTTTAACACTCTTCTTGACCCATTCTTTGAGAAGAAAATTTATGGTTCTACAAACTATCACTCTAAAGAGTTTGTCAAAGAAAATTTGGACTCATTCAAGTATCGAAAGCTTGAAAATGGTGGTCCCGAACACCAATAATGAGGTATAAAGTCATCTTGAACTTTTCTTAAAAAATACTTATAGAAACTGTTTGATTTTTAGTATGAAAATTAAGTTAAGCATGGATTAAGGGAATATGAAAGAAAAATACTAAGAACCATAAGTTAAGGTCGTGTTTTTCTTTATAAACAAGTAACATAAAAAATAATTTACTAAATCAACACGGTTGTCGATGAAATTTTAAGGCTGAAGATAATATGACATATTGAGGGCATATATTAAATTTGGTAGTCATTCGATAAAGATAATTGGCTAAACCAAGAAATGATGCAAATGACCAAAATGCCCCCATGACGGTTGCCTTATGTTTAAGACCTAAATAACCTTCAAATTACATGAATCGACCTTGTTTCACGATGATTAAAGATTATGTGAAGTTTCAAAATAGTTAGAACACGTTTACAGGCTAAATCAAGACTTATAGATAAAATGACTAAAATGCCTTTAGGTTACCTTTAGATGGACTCTCTAAATAACTTAAAGATTTTAATAAAGGTTTATGCACGAGGACATAAAGATATTTCAAAGTCTCCTATAAGTGTTGTTTTAATTCAAGATGGAAAGCACTTAATATATTTCAGTGAAAAACTAAATGGGCCAACAATGAAATATACTACCTATGGTAAAGAATTATTTGCTTTAGTTCATATATTGCATGTGTGACAACACTACTTATGGCCTAGAGAATTTGTGATCCATTTTGATCATGAAAGCTTGAAGTATGTGAAGGGTCAAAGCAAACTGAACCGTAGACATGCAAAGTGGGTGGAGTTTATCGAAATATTTTCGTATGTCATCAAATATAAGTAAAGTAATGATAATATGGTAGCTGATATGTTATCTAAAAGGTACGATCTCTTTACTCCTCTTAGTGCAAAAATTCTTGGACTTGAGCATATTACTAAATTATATAGAGATGATCAAGATTTCAGAACTATTTATGCATCTTGTCTTGCAAAAAAAAAAAAAAAAAAAAAAAAAAAAAAAAAAAAAACTATGGATGATTATTATTTGTTTCATAAATTTTTTATGGTTTGTATTCCTAAATGCTCTATAAAAGATTTGCTTTTGAGAGAAGCACATGGTGGTGCCTTAATGAGACATCTCAGGATTAATAAAGTTTATAAGATGTTGCATAAACACTTCTTTTGGCCGAAGATGGAGCACAATATCCAAAAGTTTTGTAGCAAATGTTTTAAACGCAAAGAAACTAAATCTAGATCACAACCAAACAAATTTTATACTCTTTTGAATGTACCTAACAAACCTTGGACTAATATATCTATACAATTTGTTCTTGGTTTACTGCACACTAAAATTGGTAAAGATTGTATTTTTGTTGTGGCAGATATATTTATTAAAATGAGTCGAAATGGATGATGCAAAGCATGATGCTGACTTATTCTGATTCGAGGACGAATCCTTCTGAAGAGGGGGAAGATGATAAGAATCACGGTGTTCAAAATTGACCTATTGCCTTATCACCAATGATCATAGTGACCATCGAAGTGAGGGATCTTCGTAAAAGTTTTGTCTTCACTCATACTCTCTCTATTTGATCACCACACTCCATAAGACCCTTTGCTCTGAGCTAATTTTCCATTAGCTCACTCCAATGATCATAGTGACTAGTTTCATAAATTCAGCGGAGTTCATTAAATGCAACTTAAAGTGCATTTAATTAATCTCTTTCTTGAAGCTCAACTTTGCACAACATATAAAGGAGGTCACCAACGTCTTCTAGAATTTCTTTTGATGAGCTCACCATAGCTTGAATATAACTGTATAAGGTTTGTTGTAGCTTCTTAGCTCTCGTCCTTGTAATTGGAACTTGAGGTATGAAAATTCCTTAATCAGTTCATACCACTCATACTCTCTGTGGTGGCTCTGAAACCAATTGTTAGATTTTGACAGAAACATAAACCATTAGAGTTTCAAGTGATGATATTATTGCTTGACTTTTATAGCTTTACAAATGACCAGAAATAGAAACTAACCACAAATATTGCAAATAGAAACTAACCACAAATCTTGCAAATGGTTGAATACAAACAAAACCTTTGTGTTTTTTTGATACCTTTTTGGTGTTATTCTTTTTCAAACCTTGCTTTAGGTTTGATGTTTAGACCGATTCATTGAATTAGTTTTGATTAAGCTAATTCTAGAGTGAGTCGTCTTGGAATCTAAGAGTGACCATCATAGATTCCAATTTCGATCTAAGAGTCATTCATCTTCTAACCAACTCTTGGTTGGAATCAATTCGTTAAGTTAGCTTTCTTTGTAAACGTTTGCAAGGATTGTTGACGTTTATCAGTAGTCTGAGTCATGAACATTCTGTATGGTGGGAGATCTTAGGAGTTTCTTGTGTTTCTGTGTTTGAAGACCTTAGTCCCTTACTCTTGAGTAGTACCTAGCATTCTTGTTACATTGGTAGTTGTAGAGTTATAGAAGAATCTTGAATACTTGGTAAGAATTCCTTGAAATACTTTCTAAGTGTTTATAAGGCCCTAACTTGGTTTAGGTTCCAAACTTGCTCAAATCAACATGAAATCTTGAACGTTTCTTCATACCCTTAGGAATAGACTCATATAAAAAGTAGTAGGTCATTTGGAGTATGTTTAGATCTTGATATCATAAAGAGTTTGAAAGGCATTTTGTTCATTTTATCCCCTAATTCTTAGTTTTGCTACTTAACGTGTTCTAATGACTTTCAAACTTCACATCATTAAACATCATAAAATAAGATCTACTACAAAGTTTCATAATATTTTGAGGTCATTTATAGCATGAACCGAAGACTACATCATTAAACATGTTCTATCATATTGCTAAGGTTGGCCGAACAAAATGTCCCCCACATGCATTGGTATGACATCACAAAAAACTTCATCTTTATATCTTCCAAGAGTAAAAGAAATAAGAGCTTGGGAGTTCACCTTAATTTCTTCCTTGTTTGTCAACCATTGAAGTTTGTATGGTTTTGGATGGGGATGGACAAAAAGTTGAAGTCTTTTTACAAGGAAGTTGCTTACCACATTTGTCCAATTTCCACTATCAATCACCAAGCTGCATGGGTTTCCTTTGATCAAACATCTTGTGTGGAACAAGTTTTCCCTTTGATCTTCAAATTCTCTTCCTTGATTTAAACATTGAGTACCCTTCTTGTGATCAAAGATATGAAATTACCTTTTTCAACATACTCATCATCATATGCTACGATTTCTTCCACTAGCTATGAATCATGATCCTCACATTTATCATCTGAATCAAGTATGCCATTCCTTATTACCATAACTTTTTTATTAACACACTCTTTGCTTATGTGTCCAAACCCTTTGCACTTCCAACATTGAATAGAACTAGACTTCTTCTTTACCGTTTTTGAAGCTTCATAATTTTTACCATTGGAACTCTCAGCCTCCACTCTTTTAGCAGTCACATACTTTTCTTTTGGTGACATCGATTCATTTCTATTCACAAAACTATCCTTGTTCCAAGCCTTAGAATTTGAAAAGGTGTTAATTCGTGATGTGTACCTTTTTTAATGCTCTTTTTCTTCCTTCAATTGGTCTTCAATTTTGAGAGCATAATGATACATGTCTTCCAGATATGGTGGTGGATTTCTGTCAACAAGATGAGCAATTTCTCGATTCAAACCTCCAAGGAATCTAGACATGGTATCTTCTTCTTCTTCTCTAACATTTGCTCTTTCCATCATAGTCTCCATCTCTTGATAATATTCTACCACACTTTTTGTTCCTTGCCTCAAACCTTGCAATTTAGTTTTCAAATTTCTTTCATAATGTTTTGGAACATACCTTTTTCTCATGGCTTCTTTAAGTTCTTCCCAAGTCTCTATTGGATCCTCCTCTTTTCTTCTTCTTTCGGATTTGAGATGTTGGTACCAATCACCGGCATGATTGGTAAATTCGGCAATAGCGAGTCTCATCTTCTTATTTTCACCATAGGTGTTGCAATCAAACACATGCTGATATGAACTAAGAGATATCAATCATACAATATACTTCAATGAAGATGTGAAGAAAATATTGTTGAAATTATCCAAAGATATTTCAATTCATGCCACATTTTGAAGAAGAATGAAGTTTTATGTTATAAATTTGGGGTGGATTACAATTTAGAGTTATTATATTTCATTAATGTATTTTAATACTTTTTATTTACTTTAGGCACAATTACATAATGGTTAATTATGGCCATTAAGTATGAATGTTACAACTCTTGAAATGTCTTAATAGTTTCATTTTGAGGCTATATAAAGCCATGTAGGTTGTATTTGTAAGTAGACTTGGAAAATATATTTAAAAGAAGCATTTGTGCTTTCTTTAGCCAATGGCTAAGTTTATTTTGCAATTCTATATAGTTTAGGTTGCATGTAGAATCATTCAAGCTCGACATGATCAATCTTGTTTGTGGAGGGATTCGAATCTCAATCAAGTGTTCTTGCCTTGAGATATTTGATCAACAAGAATCATTCAAGTAAGACGTGATGAATCTTGCTTGTGGAGTGACTCGAATCTCAAACAATGTTCTTACCTTGAGATATTCGATCAACAAGGTAATCCAAATCTTATTCCCCTTGTATTGATTCCTTATTATATCACATGCTCTATCTTTCTTTCCCATTGCAAGTATGCCTTAGAATCTGCCGTTCCACAAAAGGGTGGGATTTTGACTTTAACTCCCCCATCTCTATCTTCATGTATTTTTTCCCATTTCCATCATACCTTGAATTGCTTGAAGAATAGTTGTATTAAGATCTGGTACTGGTGGTACTCCTCCTTTATGTGACATTTTTTCACAGTAATGGGGACCTCTCCACACTTCTCACAAAAATTTCACTAAGGGACACTCGTGTTTAACACTCAAAGGTAGGCTTTTGGTACTAGGTCAATAATGTAAAGGCTGGCTTTTTTTTTGTGCAATCTTGCTTTAAGGTTGATTATAACCAATTCAACGATTAATTCTAACAAGCTAAGACTAGTATCTCAAGAATCAAGGGCTTGAAAATTTTGAACAGACTCAAATAAATGATAAGAACTGAATATATATTTTTTTCTTCTCAGAACTGATTCTTTTTTTTTTTTTTACCGATTTTGTTTTTCTTTTATTTTTCTACTGATTCTTCTTTCTTTCTTTCTTTCTTTCTTTCTTTTTTTCGATAATCTGAGAGAGATGAAAAAAAAATTGATAGAAAAAAATAACAGTAAAGATATTTCACCTCTTAGAGCGGCCAAAGAACGTCGACCAAATGCTTTGATACCAAATGATAAACGGTAACAATGCTGGATTTTTGCAAAGCTAGAGGTCCTTCTAGAATCCTTGCAAACATTCATAAAGAATGCTAACTTAACGAATTGATTCCAACCAAGAGTTGGTTAGAAGATGAATGACTCTTAGATCGAACTTGGAATCTATGATGGTGATAAGCGCCAACAATGCTGGATTTTTGCAAAGCTAGAGGTCCTTCTAAAATCCTTGCAAAACGTTCACAGAGAAAGCTAACTCAGCGGATTGATTCCAACCAAGAGCTGGTTAGAAGATGAATGACTCTTAAATCGAACTTGGAATCTATTATTGTAACGACCTAGGAAAGAAAAAACTCAGTCGCCGGAAAACCCGCGAGTTTTCCGGTGACCACCGAGTTTCGCGGAACCCATGCGAAACGACGGCCACAGCATGCCCAGCCTTCAGCCCACGACTCCCAGCACCATCAGGATACCTGCAAAGGGAGAAAAGATAAAAAACTACGAGAGAGAGAGAGAGAGATTTTGGAAAAAAAAGTCGGCGAGTGTCCAATTTGTCCGACGAACCCCCAAACCACCCTCAAACTGACACCAAACGACCTGTTACTGCCACGAGAAGGATCCCTAACAAAAGCACGATAACTCAAGGTGCGTTTTGTGCTTTTTTGTAAATGCCGTCGTCGGTAACCGAGGTATGAAAATTGGGTATTTCCTAATCATTCTTAGATCTGTGGTTTTAGGAACCCTTAGGCCGCAAAACTCCCGGAAAAGAAAGAAGGACAAAGAAGGACGACAAATAAAGAGGAAGAGGAAGAAAGAGGACCAAAATCGGCAACGGAAATGCCGCGGGTAGGAGAGAGAAAACTCGCCAGAAAATCGGCCGGAGTCGGGTAAGGAAGACGAGGTCCACGGATCCGGGTCAACCCGAACCCAAAACCCGAGAGAGTCAGCCCATTCTTTCCCTCGGCCTCTGCCTTCGGCCCAGCCCAACTACAGTGGCCCTAACCTTAGACTAGCTCAGAAGCTATGGTTCAGTTGAACCAACCCGAGACCAGACCCACGGTCCAATCGAGCCGGCCTGCAACCCAAAAAAACTTTTGGCCCAGCCCAATAAGCCGAGGCCCAACGATAGTCTTGGCCCAGTAGCCTCTGCAACCCGCGACCCAGACCACGACCCGAACTGGACTACGACCCGCTCTTCGACCCGACGCTACCACACGACGTGGCTCGTTCTGCTGCTGCCACGTGTCACAAAGCAATGCAGGCGGTCACTCAGCTCGGCTCGATGCAAACGGTTTGGCTCCCTCCGGCGACGCTCCGACGGCTCCTCCGGCGGCTCCCAGTGGCTATTCGGTTCGGCTCACCTATTTTCAGCCCGGTTTCCACTGTTTCGACCCTCCCAAATCTGTTTTCGGCCCCGATTAAGGTATCCGAGGCCATGTTAGAGCTGTATTTCACATTTATTGAATTATAGGGAAATTAATTGTGAAATACTAACGAAAAGTGGTGAACGGTGTGATAGGAAACAAACCCTGGCAACGTAGGAAGCAGCTCTCACGGAACGGGAGCTTACGTTTAGCTATTTAGGGAGTACTTCGGCCAAGGCCAACCAAGTAAGTGGCCTTACTATAGGATAGGCAAAAGAAATTGTATGAGTTATGATGATGTGTGGATTACGATGCTTGATGATATGTGTAGTATATACATATTTTGATGAATGATGCACTTGATATGTTTGACACACTTTGTGGCAATATGATGAGTATGATGATTGCATGATGTTTACCTTAATATGATGATAGTTTCCATATTGAGCATGCTAGATGATGATGAGTGCCATATTGCATCACGTCGTTAGATCGACATAGGACACAACCCTAAGAGCATGAAAATTATATTAATATAAATATCCACGAGTATGTTTACCTAGAGTAACAAAGAGATGAGACTAGAGGGTTGTGTCAGAAGAGACATTACGATGGATTTAGAGGGACCTCATGCATATTGTATGTTCATAAGCATAGGGCTACTTCCCCTAGAGATGATGAGTGCGGACGCGCACCTTATGATGAGCGTGAATGCGCACAGGTGCGAAAGCACACAGATGAGGGTGTTCATGAGGCGCATGACACTATGGGGTTCTGCTGACCTCCAGACGTCGCTACAGATTAGCTTGACCAGAGGGTCCAGGGGGTGTGTGAGCGCCCTGGAGATTCACACTCACACGTGTGAGTCATGTGTAGGAAAGTACTACACATCCAATTTGTCCGAGACGGGAGGCCACCCCTAAAGATGATTAGAGATAGGTCCCTAATTCATGATTGCATGTGTTTGCATTAGCATGACCCCTATAGTGGGGTCATTTACTGAGTATTTCTTCGAAATACTTAGGCCGTGTGCCATATTGTTTTTCAGGTAAAGGCAAGGCTCCCATGTACGGTTGACGGTGGCATCGTGATCAAAGACTGTGGCGCGTGCGTAGGATAGTTGCATATTTAAAATTCCTAGTCTTGGTTAGGATAGGGCATTTGCATTTCACTCATTTATATTATTTAATTTGTAATCGTTTTTTTTTTAATCTTTTTGAACTCCAGCATGATGTTTGAAACACGTAAGTCCTGCAGTGTTTTCCAATGTTTGAATGTATTCTGAAGTTTTAAATTTTTCTGCTAATAAAAATGAGCATTCCTAGATTTTATTCTGCATTAGAGATGAGCATGAGACGTTAGTGGCGACTCTAGATATGTGAAAATTTAGGGTCATTACAATGATGGTCACTCTTAGATACCAAGACAATTCACTCTAGAATTAGCTTGATCAAAACTAATTCAATGAATCAGTTTAAACATCAAACCTAAAGCAAGGTTTGAAAAAGAATAACACCAAAAAGGTATCAAGAAAGCACAAAGGTTTTGTCTATATTCAACAATCCGTCCAAACATGAATATTACATGCCTTTAAATAGGCCCAAAAGATAACCCTAACATAATAAAGTTCAGCCACCAAACACAGATCACTAATGAATGCTATTAAATACAAATAGAAGAAAATAAGGCATTCATAAATTGTCTAAATTGGTAATTTAACTACAAATGACAAGTCTTCTAATCACTTTCCAATGTTAGCCACTCTATTATTTTCTTGATTTGATACTTGAATCTTCTTTGTATTGCTTCTTGTAATTGCTCGTTCAGGTACATGGAAGTGATCAGTTGTTGGATTCATATCATCCCCCCTTTCTTTAAAAGGATTTGTCCTCAAATCAAATTCTTCATTCTTTCCGAACAAGAACTGAATATTGTTTTTTTTTCCTCTATTTCTCACTTTTTTTTCTCACTTTTTTTTCTCACCTTTACCTTAGTTTCTTCTCTCCACTGTTGTTCTTCATATTCTTTTATTTTCTTCTCTAATTTCAATTGGTCACAATGTACTTCATATGGAGACAATGGAAGTAAAGTAAATTTTTTTCCACAGAAATTAAAAGTATACTTGTTCATCAAACTATCAAATGTTACTTTTCTATCATATTGCCAAGGTCGGTCGAACAAGATGTCCCCCACATGCATTGGTATGACATCACAAACAACTTCATCTTTATATCTTCCAAGAGTAAAAGAAATAAGAGCTTGAGAGTTCACCTTAATTTCTTCTTCGTTTGTCAACCATTGAAATTTGTATGGTTTTGGATGTGGATGGATAGAAAATTGAAGTCTTTTTACAAGAAAGTTGCTTACCACATTTGTGCAACTTCCACTATCGATCACCAAGCTGCATGGGTTTCTTTTGATCAAACATCTTGTGTGGAACAAGTTTTGAACATTGTGTACCCTTCTTGTGATCAAAGATATGAAATTACCATCTTCGACATACTCATCATCATATGCTGTGATTTCTTCCACAAGCTGTGAATCATGATCCTCACATTCATTATCTGAATCAAGTATACCATTCCTTATCACCATAACTTTTTTTTATTAACACACTCTTTGCTCATGTGTCCAAACCCTTTGCACTTCCAACATTGAATAGAACTAGACCTCTCCTTTACCGTCTTTGAAGCTTCATTTTTTTTTACCATTGGAACTCTCAGCCTCCACTCTTTTAGCAGTCACATACTTTTCTTTTGGTGACATCGATTCATTTCTATTCACAAAACTATCCTTGTTCCAAGCCTTAGAATTTGAAAAGGTGTTAATTCGTGATGTGTACCTTTTTTAATGCTCTTTTTCTTCCTTCAATTGGTCTTCAATTTTGAGAGCATAATGATACATGTCTTCCAGATATGGTGGTGGATTTCTGTCAACAAGATGAGCAATTTCTCGATTCAAACCTCCAAGGAATCTAGACATGGTATCTTCTTCTTCTTCTCTAACATTTGCTCTTTCCATCATAGTCTCCATCTCTTGATAATATTCTACCACACTTTTTGTTCCTTGCCTCAAACCTTGCAATTTAGTTTTCAAATTTCTTTCATAATGTTTTGGAACATACCTTTTTCTCATGGCTTCTTTAAGTTCTTCCCAAGTCTCTATTGGATCCTCCTCTTTTCTTCTTCTCTCAGATTTGAGATGTTGGTACCAATCACCAAGTTGATTGGTAAATTAGGCAATAGCAAGTCTCATCTTCTTATTTTCACTATAGGTGTTGCAATCAAACACATGCTCTATCTTTCTTTCCCATTGCAAGTATGCCTCAGAATCTGCCGTTCCACAAAAGGGTGGAATTTTGAGTTTAACTCCCCCATCTCTATCTTCATGTACTCTTTTCATCCTTCTAGGTTGCATAATAGTTGCATGGTTATTTCTTCCTCTCCATCTACCTTCAACTTGTCTTTCTTGTACTACTATACCTTCATCTTCTTGTAATGTTCGTGTCTTTGTTGTTGCGCCCTTCTTTCTTGTCTATCTTCCATCATCATTTCCATCATACCTTGAATTGCTTGAAGAATGGTTGTATTAAATTTTGGTACTGGTGGTACTGCTTCTCCATTATGTGACATTTTGTTATCAAGGGACCTCTCCACACTTCTCACAAAAATTTCATTAAGGGACACTCGTGTTTAACACTCAAAGGTAGGCTTTTGGTACTAGGTCAAGAATGTAAAGGCTGGCTTTTTTTTTTTTTTT